GGGGGCAGAGAACGGTGGGGTATTATTTTATATGGGGGGAGGCAGAGAACAGGGGGGAGGGTATTTATTTTATATGTGGGGATGTGGAGGGCCGCAATGTTTAAATTGCTTTATCTTAATATTGTTGTTGTTAATATTTATTTTTGTAACTTTATTCTGCCTTCAACATTTAAAAGTGTAATTTCATAAGATAATTTAAGAGGGTGGGTTTAGGGGCGGAGTTAAGGCCGAGGCAGGGTTGGGGTTAGGTGGGGCAACTGGTGGCGAGTAACTCTTAAGGCCTGGCTAGTAGCTCAGGACTTGAAATTTTGAGCCCTGCTATAGACCATTGTGTCTCCCTTTTGTTGATTTTAAGGGATGTTCCTTAAAAGAGTTTACTGGTTAAACTTTTTTAGATTTCGAGAAAGGGGCTAAGCCTCATAACCTACAGCAGATGCAAGGCACTCTTTCTGTTCCAACTTATTCTGCTTAACCAAACAAGAGTTTAGCAATCACAGAACACCTTTGTATCCTTTGAGAAAAATACAAGGCATTTTGTGAATTGGAATTGTGTCCTTGTTCCCTGCAGCTTCTGGTAGCTGAGTGTTATGTGTAGCAATTGACATGCTGCAAGGTAAGATTTTTATACTTTGCAGCAACTCTCCACACATGACATACAGCTTTCTAATGATAATTTACACACCCAATCAGAGGCCATGTCATCCTGCAAGGATCTGTAAGAATATCAGATAGAGCTTTTGATGCTGAAGGCTCAGAGCCTGTTAATGCTGTAGGCAGGTCAGATATAGATTCTGCAGGGGAAGGCATTGAAGTATGCTTATGTTCTCTACGGTCAGAGTCCGCAATTAATATAGCAATTAAGCCCATAAAATTCTACATAACTACAGTGAAATCCTCCTGGTTCAAAGCTGAGTATGGGGCCACACAAGGATTTAGAGAAATGGTTTCAACAAGGATTTAGAGAAATGTATTGGCTCAAGCAGGGGCCAACATTCCAGGCTGTCTGAATCAGGCCCTTGAGACAGAATACTGCAGGCTGCTGCGGACTGATAGTGAACCGTAAGCCAGAGACATCAGACCCCGCAGGACTCCTCTTGTGTTTAGTATCTGACATGTTGCACCGCAAAGAGGGCAACGTAGGTGTAATAGAAGGTAAAACCTTCAGTACTCACAAACTGACTGCTGGAAGCTGGAGAGGTTCAAATGGTCAGAGGTGACCAGCTCACTGTAAGTGGCTGCAACAACTAACCAAGGTAGAACATCATGTCTCTTGCAATTAGGAGTAGTGGCGGCAAGGCTGCACTACAGGAATAGAATACATTGGGGGGATTAATCAAAACTGGAGCAGACAGAATCAGGAGCAACTGCCCACAGTAACCAATCAGCTTCTCTCTTCAGTTTGCTAGGTTAAGCTTTGACGATGAAAAATAGAAGCTGATTGGTTGCCATGGGCAACTGCTTCAGCGTCTGTCTGCTCCCGTTTTGATAAATTCCCCTCATAGTGTGCGTGCACAGCACTCCACCTAAGTTCCTCAGAA